AGAATAGAATAGAATAGAATAGAATAGAATAGAATAGAATAGAATAGAATAGAATAACAGAGTTGGAAGGGACCTTGGAGGTCTTCTAGTCCAACCCCCTGCTTAGGCAGGAAACCCTACACCACTTCAGACAAATGGTTACTCAACATCTTCTTTAAAACCTCCAGTGTTGGGGCATTCACAACTTCTGCAGGCAAGTTGTTCCACTGATTAATTGTTCTAACCGTCAGGGAATTTCTCCTTAGTTCTAAGTTGACTACAGGGGCTGACTACAGCGTCAGCCTCTTGCCCCCCAACAATCTGGGTCCTCATTTGACCCACCTCGGAAGGACGGGAGGCTGAGTCAACCTTGAGCCTGGTGAGATTCGAACTGCCAAATTGCAGGCAGCAGAAGGAGCCTGCAGTACTGCACTCTAACCACTGCGCCACCGTGGCTCGGAGATCCCAACTTTATAGACTTGAGGTCCCCAAGCCACCAGCGGCAACATCAAAACAGGTGCCCAATGCATATTTATCACGGATCCCACAGCTGCGATAATCTATAAAATGATTCTCCGTCAGCAGCAACTATCAGGGTTCAGTCACGTTACTGGGGCATCCTATAATTTACATTGGAAAACGCACTACATATTGGATGCTACCCAGGAGGAAGCTAGATGGGACTGAGAGCATAGTTCTGAGGATCACAGGGAACATCTGATTCTGGCCTTCTAGCAAAAAGTCACAAATTACCCTAAACTAGGATTTCTAAAATCATTTGCTAAGATATTTAGAGCCTTCTCTGTGGGGGCACCTACTATCTGGAACGAGCTCCCCCCGGAGATACGGAGGATCCCTGATCTGCGTACCTTCCGTCGCGCGCTCAAGACTTTCTTATTTCATCAAGCCAGCCTGACCTAAGTCTTTCCCCTTTTAAATGGAAATTTTAAATCTGGTTTTAAATTATTGGGGTTTTAAATTTGTTCAGCCAAATTATTTAATTCGTTTTAATCTATTTTAAATTTTGTATTTATATGTTTTATTCTATGGCTGTTCACCGCCCTGAGTCCTTCGGGAGTAGGGCGGCATACAAATTCAATAAAATAAAAAATAAATAAATAATATTAGGCAGCATTGTGCACATCATCAAAAGAAAAAGAAGAAGAAAAGAAAAAGCCAAAGCAAGCTACGGTTTAACATGCTATGAAGCAGATCAACGCAAATTAGGAAGCATATTGAGCTGGGTGATAAATGAATAAAGATATGGGAGGCCCTTGATAAGTGTCTTTACGGTGTTGAAAAATATTTTATTTACTTATTTATTTATTAAATTTATATGCTGCCCCTTTCCGGAGACTCAGGGCGGCTCACAATACATTTTAAAAAATCATTATAAAAAACATTTAAAAATTAAAAACATTAAAAACTCATTCACACCATTCATGGCCGGATCGCGCCAGATCGCAAAGCGAGATCAACGGCCCCAGGCCTGCCGGAAAAGCCAGGTCTTCACCGCTTTTCGGAAGGCCGATAGGGTGAGGATGGTCCGGACCTCAGGAGGTAACTGGTTCCAGAGAGCTGGGGCAGCCACAGAGAAGGGCCTCCCCCGCGGGCCCGCCAGCTTGCATTGTTTAGCTGATGGGACCCGGAGGAGACCAACTCTGTGGGATCTTACCGGTCGCTGGGAGCTATGCGGTAGAAGGCGGTCTCGAAGATAACCTGGCCCTGAGCCATGTAGGGCTTTAAAGGTAATAACCAACACCTTCAATTGTGACCGGAGACCAATAGGGAGCCAGTGCAGCTCGCGGAGAATTGGTGTATATACCATGTTTCCCCGAAAACAAGACATGTCCGGATAATAAGCCCAATCGGACTTTTCAGCGCGTGCGATAAGATAAACCACCCTCGCAAAATAAGCCCCCCCCCCCACCAACTACTTACACGCATGCGCAGCTGATCCCGCCATTTCCTCTGGTTGCTTTCCGCGCAACCAAAATGAGTTGAGGAGGTGAGGCCGAAGGGGGGGTTAAAAGGGGGGGGACATGCCCTCCCCTCCCTGTTCTTTGCGGCGGTCGAGCGTCCCAACACGTCCCACCCCGCCCAATGGCAACAGCAGCCTGGCTGCTTCCCTTCCCCGCTGTCTCTTTATCGAGAGGGGTGGCAGGCGGGGTGGGGGAGAAGCGAGATGCGTGGAGCGAGACGTGGCTCCCCTTGCCGTCTCTTCACACCCTCACCGGGCATGGCAGGGCTCCTGCCCCTTGCTTAGCCACCCGCCCCCTTTAGGGATGCAATACTTGGTTGGACTACTGTAACGCCCTCTACATGGGGCTGCCCTTGGGATGCACCCGGAGGCCGTGCGGGTTGTTACGGGGGCTTCTCGTTACTCCCGTGTGACACCTCTCCTGCGCGAGCTGCACTGGCTGCCGGTGGTCCTTTGGGTCCATTTCAAGGTGCTGGTGCTCACCTATAAAGCCTTACATGGCTTAGGCCCGGGGTACTTGCAGGATCATCTCCTGCCATCCTCCCATCGTCCAGTGCGCTCCCACAGAGCGGGCCTCCTCAGGGTGCCGTCAGCCAGACAATGTCGGCTGGCGGCCCCCAGGGGGAGAGCGTTCTCTGTGGGAGCACCGACCCTCTGGAACGGTTTGCCCACCGGGATTAGGACAGCCCCCGACCTCCTCTCCTTCTGCCGCGAACTGAAGACGTGGCTCTTTTATCAAATGGGCTGATCCGTTGGGGGATTTTTACATTGAAATAATTTTAATAAATTTTAATTGGATTTTAATTTTTTATGTAATTTTCGAATTTGTTGAATGTCTCTTTGTAAGCCGCCCTGAGTCCTTCAGGAGAAGGGCGGCATATAAATTACATACATACATACATACATACATACATACATACATACATACATACATAAATTTGGGGTGGCAGGTGGGGCGGGGGAGAAGCGGGACGCAGATCTTACCTTTTCCAGCTCCGTCTCCCTAACCCTAACCCGAGGAAATGGCGGGGACCGGCTGCGCCTACGGTTAAATATTTTTGGAGAGGGCTTATTGGGGGAGGGGGATTTATTTTAGCACATGCGCGCAAAAGCCTGATTGGGCTTCTTATCCAGGGAGGTCTTATTTTCAGGGGAAACCCGGTATATAAATTCATGCAAATCTGCCTGCTAAAGATGGTTTTGGAATCAAGTCTCAGCGCCAGAATTGGTATGTTACAAAGTCGGCAACGTTTCCAGAAAAACGTACTCTGGTTTTTATCTGGTCTTCCCAAGACAGCTAATTAAAAAGCAGGAGACATCCGTTAAGAAAATTCAGATATAAACAAGCAAAGCAAACTTTGAAGAAGAGCTGGCCACTAACCACATCAGGGAGGGAGGAAAGCTCAATTTCCGACTGGTTGGATGCAACGGATCTCACTTCGGCGTCTTCCAACTTGACACCTGTGGATAAGGCAACATGACCTGCTTCAGAAGCCGACTGTCAACTCTGAAGCGAGCCTGACCGAAGCCATCTTGTGCTGCCTCGTAGTTGCCACGAAGCCTGAGAGGGGGGAAGGGAGCGGGGAAGTAGATAGGCCGGCTAACAGTCAAAACAAAATGTTTTCCTGTGGGAACCAAGGTCATTGCAACAGGTGGCTGTTGAAGGAGGAGAGGTGTCAGACTGCGGTACTGTCTCAAGATTAAAGGAATCTCCAAACTGCCAATCTTTAAGGAAATCTTTCTTTAATTGAGCTCAGCCACTGGATCATGACTCCGCGCGGACAAGACTGACCTTTTGCCTCCCAATCCCTCCCTTTCCGACCCCCAAGTCTCTGCTTCTCATTGGCTGTCTTCCAAGTCATTCTTCAGACTTCTTTTCCCCGTCATTTCTCAGGAATGTGCCCCTCCCCACTTATCTCCACGACAACCAGGCTTCAAAGGGATTTTGCAGGCAAAAGTTTCAGAGTTTATCTTTTACTGTCCTCTGCTCTCTCTGTCTATGCCAGCAATGCAACGCTGACAAGAGGAGCCTGCCATCCATCCTAATTGGACAATGTGACCGGTGACACCTGGGAGGGGGGATTTTACTCTCTTAATTAGGTGAAAACCGTGGGAACTGTTAAGAGTTGGTTTTCACCGGCTGTGCCGATATGATGTATCCAATAAACATGTTCTTTGAGGAATCTACCTGCCTCCGAGTTCTGCTTCCAATGGGTGCGCTACTTGGAACGCTGACACTGACTGGATCCATTCAGCGTACTTAGCCAGACGAAGATATCTTGAGTGCGCAACAAATGCCTTTCAATACCCATCGCAGTCTGGAGACAGCCCTCAACCAAAGGCCGCGAAAAGGAACTTGGGAAGCCTGATTTTCCCAGAGAGAAAAGCCAAGGGACTTTCGTCTCGTCTACAGCTAAGGGTAGTGATAAGGGCAACTCTCTGCAGCTAATGTGTGTCCCCACCACGCAGGCAAGATTAAACCGAACGGGGTTGCCATTTCCCAGACTGCTTACCAAAATCCTCCTCTTCGTCCTCTCTTAGCAGCAAGAGGTCGTCTTCCATGCTCAGCTCACAGAGGTCGTCGGTGGAATCCTTCGCTTCGGCTTTGATATTCCCGCTCACCTTCTCTTCCTTGGTTGAATTGGCCCCATCTTGATTCAGGGGCTTCTTCTCGGCCTCCCCAGTCCCCTCTTTCTGCACGAATGAAAAGGACAATATCTGTGCCTTACCCAAAAAAAGAACCCCTCTTATTATCCTTTGCAATTGGAAGAAAATGCAACGTAAGACCATGTGAGTAACTGGCCAAACATGAGGGGGCCAACCGAGAGTTGTATAGACGTACTTGAACTTCCTTCTGGTTACTATCGGGTGCATCTTCTGCTCCGGGTTTCTCCTGAGGTTCCTCCTTCACTTCGTTCTCTGCTTCCTTTTCAGATTTTGGCACTTTTTCTGAATCGGGATTCTTGGCCTCCGGCGGCTGCTCCTTTTCCGGCAGGGCCAGCAACGCTTTATAAAGCTTGTAGCCGAAATCCCGCTGAAGCATCTCCTGGAAAGTCTCTGCCATCACTGCCACCTCAGGGGGGGGAAAGAAGGAGCGAAAGAGATCAGAGGGCAAGAAGCTGGGGCAGATCTCGAGGCCTAAACTATGGAACTGTGAGCATCCACATGCCTATACAGTTTACGCCTGATTTAACAGGTTGGGGATTCAACAGATGGAAATCTGCCGAAAGGGGATACGCTCTGATAGGATGCTGGCATCGGAGGCTGAGAAGAACGAGAAGAGAAGGTGTTGAGAGGGTTGGTGAGACGTTGGCACTGGCGGAGACAGCACTGGGAAGCTGGGAGGCTTCCCACCCACTGGCCCCCACCCTTTGGCCTCTGCCTCCCAGCAATTTACCTCCTTGCAGCAAGCAGAAACAGCTCCTTTCTGCTTCAGCACAGCCTAATTAGCACAAGTTGATTGTCCATTGGATCGGCCTCTCGACTCTCAGCTGTTTTGCGCGGGCCTCTGCTGCTTGCTGCAAGGAGGTAAATTGCTGAGAGAAGATTTTTTTTTCTTGTGCTAATCAAGCTCTGCTGAAAACGAAAATGAAAGTAAAGCAGGCTGTTTGCTGTTACGAGGCCAAATTGCTGGGAGGCAGAGGCAGATTTCTTTTTCTTGTTTTCCTCACCAAAAAAGGTAGGTGCATCTTATACTCCGGAGCGTCTTATACTCCGAAAAATACGGTACCCTCTCAAAATCCACCTCTACTCTTTCAATCTTCAAAGGTTCCCCACCCGCCACCCCCTGGTTTGTATTCATCCTATTCTGCTGGTAATTCATACAGGGCTGCTTCTTCCAAGCTCTTTGATACAACCCTATGGCTGGGACAGAAGAGAGGGAAAACCTAAATGCAAAAGGCCACAGGGAGCTTCTCTTCATGTTGGTTTTTAGTACCAGTAGCCAATAATTGGGCTAGAACAATAATTGGGCAAGAACAATAATAATTGTTCTTGCAGATGTTTCATTACCAAACCAGGTACCATCATTTAGCACTGATGATGTCACCTAATCTGGTAATGAATCTGCTAGAAAACAAAGCCCAGAGACCACCAAGGTTGACCCTCAGCTACGAATATTCTCTTCTATCTTAATCATCCCTCAAGAACGTCTCATCTGAGAGACACAAAACCTACCTCAAAGGAGAGTTTCTCCCGCTGCCTTCTGTACTCGAGCAAAGTGTAGAGAGAGAGGTTGGTGCAACTGGGCTGCCCGTTTTGCAGTGCCAGATGAGGAGAAACAATTATGGCTGGTTCCAGTGGTGGAGCTGGGGTCTCTGGTTCGGAAGTCGACGTCTCCAGAACCGGCTCGGGGACTGGTTCAGCTGCCTCCATTTCCTGCTCACAGGACTCCATTTCTTGCTCCGGAGCCGGTTCAGAGGGCTGTTCATTTTCTTCCACCTGTTTAGAAGTGTCATCGTTAAGAGGGCAAAACATCAGAGATACTGTTCTGTCCCCCTTCCCCACACAGGCAAACACACAACCTGGCACGCCTGCCAAGATTTTATTAAGCAATCAGACTAGAAATCCTTGCAGATAAGAGTTTTGGCAGTAAACTGCGAAATGCCTGCCAAGTCAGTTTTCACTCACAGTAAGCAAGAGAGAGTTTATCCTCAGTCTGGTTCAGTAGCAAAAAGTAATCCACGAAGCAAGAGTTAACCAAGGTCCAATTCAAATATGCACAAGCCAGATTTCAGGTAACGCGATGTGACTCTCAGGTTTTTAACTTTGACCGTCACAAAGCCTGAAGAGCAATCACACCCACTTTTATTCCTTGTGGGGTGTGGCTCAGTGACTCAGCTCAATCTCTGGCCCTCCCACGTCTCTTTCGTTTCTGCGCACGCTTCTCCCTCCGACACTGCCTGGGATCAAGCCAGGATTCATCATCCTCGCTCCCTCTCTGTTGTTGTTCCGATATGCTTTCCTCCTGGCATATCCCAGGCTGTTCCTTCTGGCCTTCGGATGGAACCTGAGGCATTGCCAGAGAGGAGGGTCCTGGAGAGGGAGGCCGTATCAGTTCCTCCCCATCACCTTTTGAGTCCTCTTCCTCTGTTAGGACAGGCTCGGGAGTCGGGGTCACAACAGATACATAAGTTGAAGATCCAAAGACTTCAGCTAAAATTCTTCCACAAGTGGCCACCGTACTGTAATTCAGCAAGAAAACTACGACGATTTTTGAAGAGGAGAACCAATTAAATCAAATTTAGTTTTTCGCTGGTTCCCACTGACTTTTTGGCCCATGGTCATGACTGCATGACTGTAATTTTGTTGCTGGTATCCTTACAATTTATATTGTTTCCTAATATGATTTGATTGCTTATTTGTACCCTATGACTATCAGTAAGTGTTGCACCTTATGATTCTTGACGAATGTATCTTGTCTTTTTATGTACACCGACAGCCTATGCACCAAAGACAAATTCCTTGTGTGTCCAATCACACTTGGCCAATAAAGAATTCTATTCTACTCTAATCTGAAGTTGCCAGACTCTGGAGACCCCTGATCTGGTTAAACAGAAGTCTGCTCTCAGGAGCCAAGAATGTCTAATTTCAATTAAAGGCAAGACCAACAATCAAATCACAGCTGTCCATTTAAACTAACGGAGGTCGCAATAAAGCTAAGGACACAAAACATGCCATCCGCGGAAATCTCAATGAGGCAGGATATAAAACACAACAAGTCCATGTATAAATGGAAAGAAATGGATTAGGTCAGGGGTCGGCAGCCCACGGCTCTGGAGCCGCATGTGGCTCTTTCATCCCTCTGCCGCGGCTCCTTGTTGCCGGACAGCTCCACACTTGATAGGGCTTTCGGTTAGGACAGGTAGAGGGAATAGGATGCCGCGCTAGGAGGAGACTCTATGGTGGGGGAACCGGACTTCCGGTCGGTTCCAGAATTGAACGGGGGGCTTCTGGTTAGGACCTTTGTGGCTCTTTGAGTGTTTAAGTTGCCGATCCCTGGATTAGGCGCTTTCTTCACTTCTACCCATCATCTGAGAGTGACCCCCAATTCCTTCCTGCTCAAATTAAACTTTAGATCCAGGTCGAATTAACTCTTACCGCCTCGTTTTTTCCTTCCGAAGGTGCTGCAGCTTTTTCCGCTTTCTGTTTGCACAAGGCCTCCCACTCTTCAAGAGATGGCATCAGGCTCCAAATATCTGGCAAGAAAACCACGGTCTGCTCCTGGTAAGATGGGTTTCCCTCACGCAGGTATCTGAACTCAGCAAACCGGTACCTAACGAACATCAAGCGCAGAGAATTCAGATAAACCCCCCCCAAAAAAATGATTATTCCCCAAAAGGTGTCAGTCCCACCCACGGAAGTTCAACCGCAGGCTGGATGCAGAGCTGTGTGCTTGAAAGTGCCTATAAGTGGGTGAATAGCATGATATGGCTGGAAGGGACCTCGGAGGTCATATAGTCCAACCCGCTCCACAAGGTAAGAGTCTTATACCAGCCCAGTCAAATGGCTATCTATTTTTGAAAACCTTCCGTGATGGAGCAGCCACAACTCTGGGAGGCAAACTATTCCATTGATTAATTGTTCTGTTAGAAAATTGTCTTGGGCTACATATAAAATACAGTTAACATACTTAAGTAACAAACTTCCTTTATTTTTATTTTTTTTATACAATCTTGTGGGGCCACATTACCAACTGTCCAGGGCCACACGTGGGCCACGGGATGACACACCTGTAAACGTAGAACAATACTTTGCTGTACATCTACCTCAATGAGACTCAACTACTGGGGAGAAAAATGTTAGTTATTTAGCCAAGATGACAATAATTGCAAAGTTCCAGCCCCAAAACCAATCTGCCATCCAGAACTAAATACACAAAAATTAAGCGCCTGCAATTCCTGCCCTAACGTTGCACTGCAGGATCTTCGGTCGTTCGTTCTGTTAACTCCTTGCCTTTCTTATGGCTGAACTTCCGCCCGGGTAGAATTAACTTCAGTTCAACGGGCTCTACTACAGAACGAAGAGCGTGGATTTCTGAGGAACGACAACATCCCAATCTAGGCTGGACCCCACACGTGGCAATGCTTCGCAAGGCCCCCCAATTCCTTTCTTCCCAAGTCTGATGCTTCCCCAACAAGTCACGTGTGCAGCCTGATTTACACAAAATAAGTTTGGTTGCCATGGTTATCTAGCACAAGGGAGCTATATATAACCATACTCCTTTCAACTAAGCCAATGCACTCCAAGTTCCGGCTTTTTTCCTCATTGCTGATTGGGTGAAGGCAAGAGCGTGTGAAGCCTTCTCTGGCTCCTAAGAGCACATGCACAAAAGCATGTGCAAGACCTCCAGAAAAACCAGAAGCCCAGGGTTCTTGATTATAAGGAGTCTTCTCTGAAAAGCCCACAGGGACCCAAAACCAGCCAAAATCCTCATGCCTGGGCATCGTCAGAAAGCTCAACTCCTACTTGGTACCCATATCCTTCTTCTCTTGGCAATGGGGCTTCCTCTAGTGATGGCTCCTCCAAAGGAGAACTTCAAGAGCCTGGATAGCTCTGCAGACTAAAGCACTGTAATTTAACACCAGCTGTCTGCAATTAAAGTAAGTTCGAATCTCGCCAGGCTCAAGGTTGACTCAGCCTTCCATCCTTTCTAAGGTAGGTAAATTGAGGACCCAGTTTGTGGGGGCACTAAGCTGACTTTGTATAAATATACAAAAGGATGAAGGCTATTGCTTAACGCAGTGTAAGCCGGAGAAGGGCGGCATATAAATCAAATATATATATATATATATATATATATAAAAATAAATAAATAAATAAAATAAAAGATGAAGTGAAATAAGCCAGGAAAGAAATAAACGGCAGGTGGCAAAAATAAATGACGTCCTTGGCTCACAGAAAGACAACCTTATGATTAAAGAAGAGAGTATGTGGTTTATGCCAAGGGGATCCTCAATTCTGTGCAAATCAAAGATCATTTTATTCCTTTTGGGCAACATGCTACGCTCCAAGAAGCAGGCAGTGTAAGGTGGGAATCAGGTTTTGATTTGTTTCAATTGAAACGCAATTAAAATAACACAAGGTAAACACTACGGATGGGATTACTCCCAGTTTATTTCCCTACATTCCCTTACACCAATTAAATATTATAATTCAACAAAAAAAAATTCTACAAAAAAAAAAAGATTTCAGTAAGTCTGCTTTACCGGCTTGCAACCTCTGTTTCCTAGACCCTGTATCTCTCTACTCATCTACAGATTCCTGCTGATCTTATTTTCTAATAAAAAATGTTATTTATTTAATGTAATTTGTTCCAGGCAATCGGAATATACATTAATCTGACCCTCTAATCTCAGAGGTACAAATTATACTCTAAAGCAGAGGTCTTCAAACTTGGCAGCTTTAAGACTTGTGGACTTCAACTCCCAGAATTCTCCAGACAGCATAGCATAGCATAGCAGGCTGGAGAATTCTGGGAGTTGAAGTCCACAAGTCTTAAAGCTGCCAAGTTTGAAGACCTCTGCTGTAAAGCAACCCCAATCTTCTCTTTATACAAATTAAGGACACTTAAGAGAAATTCTTCCTTTTTTTTTTCTTTTTTTTTGAGAGGGGGGCGGGATGTCCAGTCATATAGATCCAACTCAATGCTGCAAGACTTTGGCACAGAAGCGTTCAAAGAAATCCCTCCACATCTCTTTCTTGTGGAGTGTCATGCAATAACACAATTTGTTACAAAATGCACCATCTAGTGGCCCAGCTGGCTATTTATTCTTACCTTTGAGGCTATTGAAGAAGGTAAATGACTCTAATCCTTGGAAGTCAAAATAAAGGGAAACAAACATTTGCAAGTCCGATAAATGCATTGCCACTTCAGCATCCATGGACTCAAGTCCCTCAAAAATCACGGCTAGTAATGGCTTAACATCTGGATGCCATGCCAACATTCTTGCTTATATGTCTACGGAGTTTCTCCGTCATCCAGGTCAAGATTGTCCCAAAGGTGTTTTTTTTTCCAAGAGGCAACTGGACTTTCTGGTTTTTCTTTTGAAGACGTTTCACTTCTCACCCGAGAAGCTTCTTCAGCTCTGACTGAATGGTGGGGAATGGAAGGACTGATACTCCTTGCAGACAGCTGGTCATTTGCATCCTTTTAGAGGGTCCCTGAAGCCCTTGAAGGTCTACCTGTGTCTTCAGGGTCACCTGAGTGGTGCTCCTGATTCCTGTAGTCTGCAATTTTTCCCTCTGGAAATCCATTCCTACTCCCACACCATTCCAAGAGTGTTCATCCCAAATTGGATAGCTAAAAGTCTGTAGAGATTCTCAATCATCCAGGTCATAGTTGTCACAAATGAGCCGAGGTGGCGCAGTGGTTAGAGTGCAGCACTGCAGCTACTTCAGCTGACTGCTAGTTCAGCAGATCAGCGGATCAAATCTCAAGGCGGCTCAAGGTTGACTCAGCCTTCCATCCTTCCGAGGTGGGTCAAATGAGGACCCAGATTGTTGGGGGCAATATGCTATTTAGTATACTGTCTTTGGTGTAAGCCGCCCAGAGTCCTCGGAGAGTGGGCGGCATAGAAATATGACTAATAAAATAAAGGTGCTTTTTTCAGGAGGCAACTGAACTTTCTTGTTTTTTACTTTTGAAGACGTTTCGCTTCTCATCCAAGAAGCTTCTTCAGCTCTGACTGAATGGTGGGGAATGGAAGGATTGATATTCCTTGCAGACAGCTGGTCATTTGCATCCTTTTAGAGGGTCCTTGAAGCACTTGGAGGTTTATCTGTGTCCTCAGGGTCGCCCGAGTGGTGCTCCTGGTTCCTGTGGTCTGCAATTTTGCCCTCTGGAAATCTTTTTTGTTTTGAAGATGTTTCGCTTCTCACCCAAGAAGCTTCTCCAGCTCTGACTGGATGGTAGAGAATGGAAGGAGTTACATTGCATAATGCAAGCTGCCTGCAAGGAGTATCAATCCTTCCATTCCCCACCATCCAATCGGAGCTGAAGAAGCTTCTTGGATGAGAAGCAAAACGTCTTCAGAGAAAACCCAGAAAGTCCAGTTGCCTCTTGGAGAAGCACCTTTGGGACAACCATGACCTGGATGATGGAGAATCTCCATAGACATTTAGCCATGTGCTTTGGGGATAAACGCCCTTCAAATTGATGCAGGAGTATGAACGGATTTCCAGAAAAATTGCAGGCTACAGGAACCATTTGCGCTTCAGTTGGAGATGCAGGCAGCAGAGACTCATCCCCCGTAGCCTGCGCCTGGGTTCAACAAGGAAGGGACCCAGGGGAGAAAACATCCTCCAACTTCTCAATGAAAGAATGAGACAGATTAATTTCACAATTGAGGTACAGAGCTGAAGGGGCTTCTTGGATGAGAAGCGAAACGTCTTCAAAAGGAAAACCAGAAAGTCCAGGTGCCTCTTGAAAAAAAGCACCTGTAGGGACATTCTTGTGTCAACTTGCAAAGCTTTCAAGTTGCCATGAGCAGGAGGGAGGAAGAACTGATAGAGCTGATTGATTTCCATAACTGAAGCTGCATTCCATACATTCTTCCTGACCGCAATCAGAAGGAGGGTGTTGGATTTCACAGCCAGCCGAAGTGGTTAATTGGAGAATGTGATTTATGACATGGCCAGAGAGGAGGGGAGAGACAGGGTCATAGGGGAACGTAAATCTACGTGGGATTAGTTCTAACTGCATCGGAATATTGCCGGAATGGTGCTCCTAATAAATGACTGTATTTCTTTTGAAGTTCGGCTCATGGCTCATAAATTAATTAGGGCATCTTTCGGAAACTTCACATCTTGCTTATATTTGCTTGAATGAGCTAGGACTCAAAGGATAACGCCTCTTGCTCCATCACTTCAGGAGCACCTTTTCCGACTACCAAAAGGAGTTAAAAAGGCGGAAGGGAATGTGAGCTGCAGCTCACTCACAGGTGCACGGAGCGGTGGATGACGTTGCCCCAATTTGCTCCCTGCATCGTCAGTTCACAACGAATCTCCAGACTCTTATAACAACAACAACAACTAATGATGGGGATGGAAGGCCCAGCTCAACGGCAGAAAACTCACCACTTCGTGCAGGGGCTCAAATCCAAGCCGATCTGGGCTTTGACGCAACGAATGGCTGTGCGGATGAGGACCGTGGGGCTTGTAGCTGGGTCAGCACCGTCCAGAGAGGGCGACCACTCTCCTCCCAGAAGCACCAGCTCATCTGCCTTCTTTCCCAGCAGGAACTAAGGAAGGAGAAGATGGTCAGGAAAAAGACGGACCGGCCCTCTGATTTAGATTTCGGGGAGTGGGGGTGGAGCTCCCAGGGAAGCTTTCCACACAGAACTGCAAAGAACGCGCTGCTCTGTCGATTAAACCCCAAGAAGTACAGAGAAGACGTGGAAGTGACTCGATTTTTTAGATTAGATTAGATTAGATTAGATTAGATTAGATTAGATTAGATTAGATCTAACTTTATTGTACTATTGTACTGGACTATTGTAACGCTCTCTACATGGGGCTCCCCTTGAGGAGCACCAGGAGGCTCCAACTGGCGCAGAGTGCGGCCGCGCGGGTGGTTATGGGAGCAACATGGCACTCCCATGTGACACCTCTCCTGCGCGAGCTGCACTGGCTCCCGGTGGTCTTCCGGGTGCACTTCAAGGTTTTGGTTACCACCTTTAGAGCGCTCCATGGCTTAGGACCTGGTTATTTACGGGACCGCCTACTACCACCAATAGCCTCCCACTGGCCAGTATGCTCTCATAGAGAGGGACTCCTCCGGGTGCCGTCAGCCAAACAATGTCGACTGGCGGCCCCTAGGGGGAGGGCTTTCTCTGTGGGGGCACCTACTGTCTGGAATGAGCTCCCCCCGGAGATACGGAGGATCCCACTTTTTCCAGCAAGCCGGGCTGGCTTAAGAAGAAATTTTTAAATGTTTTAATTGGTTTCTGAATTTTAATTTTTGGGGCCAAATTTATATATATTTTAATTGTTTTTTAATATTTGTATTTCATGTTTTTAATTCTGGCTGTACACCGCCCTGAGTCCTTAGGGAGAAGGGCGGTATATAAATTGGAAATCAAATAAAATAAATAAAATAAATTAACATTTAGAACCAGGTTAATTTTACTGCACCAGTTCACCAGAGCCTTCAGACACTGCTTTTCACAAGGATGGTCTAGATATCCGCCAGCCCCAATGCAAAATGTGGATCCAGGGAAAAAGGCTGGCCGTCAAAAACAATTCTATGTGGAAGACACACCGAGGGGAAAAGGATGCATGAAGGATGCCTGATTCTACATCCTTGCTTGACGGTGAAGCCGAGAGTTGTTTCAGTTGGGGGCTGCACTCTTTTTTTAGACTGAAGGATACACTTCTAGGGTCACACTCCAAAAGTGGGAGGGGCCCCTGGCTGATATCCATATTACCGATTGCTTTTCGGAAAATGTATCTGGAATGAATCCGTTGGCAGATGAACTCAGAACTACTGAATTATGGACAGTAATTTCCTTCTCTGGTGAGGAGGCCTTCAACTTATTACCTTAAGACTTCTTAGCTGCCCAAGATAAAAGACATGACGGTGAAGCCTACAGAACGAAAATGAAACTTAACTTCCAAGCAACTCTAGTCCCTATGATTACTCCTTCCTTATTAAACGCCCCGTTCGATCAATATGATCATCAAAACGTGGAGGCAACACTGCATTTGGGCACAAATGCAGCTCATTTACATTTACTTCCAGCAAACGTTGCTTACCTTAATTTGCTTTGTGGGATGTTCAGGGATTTCCCTCTGATCGCTGGGCTCCTCAATATAGAGCAGACAATTGCGGTAGAGTTCCTCAATGCCAGGAGAAGAAAGCAGCAGAACCTACGTGGGAGAGGCGTCCCAGAGCACTGTGAGTGCAGCTGCGATGCATGCAGAAAATTCCCCCAAAAAATCCACTACCAAAAGTTCTTCGAACAAAAGACGACGTCGATGCCAGAGATCACAGAGAGGCATCGCAATTTACAGAGGATGATGGAGGATTTAATTATGACATTTAAAAAAAAAAGATCATGGCTTTTGTTTCATCTGCAAAAGAGAGTACCATATTTTTCGGAGTATAAGACGCACCTATCTTTTTTGGTGAGGAAAAGAAGAAAAAGGAATCTGCCTCTGCCTCCCAGCAATTTTGCCTCTTTGCAGCAAACAGCAAACAGCCTGCTTTACTTTCATTTTCGTTTTCAGCATAGCTTGATTAGCACAAGGAAAAAAAAAATCTGCTCCCAGCAATTTACCTCCTTGCAGCAAGCAGCAGAGGCCCCCGCAAAACAGCTGAGAGTCCGGATGTGATCCAATCAACTTGTGCTAATTAGGCTGTGCTGAAGCTGAAACGAGCTGTTTCTTCTTGCTGCAAAAGGAGGTAAACTGCTGGGAGGCAGAGGCCAAAGGGTGGGGAGCAGTGGGTGGGCGGGGCTACATTCAGTGTATAAAACGCACCTAAATTTTCACCCGCTTTTAGGGGGGGGAAAGGTGCGTCTTATATTCCGAAAAATACGGTAGATTGTTGGTAAAGTAGAAGCCAACAATGAATTATCTGCCTAGCCGAGTGAGAATGTCCACATTCTTACTCTGTTTTAAGGAGGTACTGAAACCGTTTAGTACAAACCTTTTCCCTGAATGATTCTATTCTCTGATTTTGAGATTTTTTTTTTAAAGCCTGCTTTTCAATCTGTGTTTATTTTAACACTTGTTATCTAAAAGCTGTGATTGTACAGATAAAAGGGAGCGAGGGAGACAGGCGGTTAAGAAGTGTGAAAAATAAACAAAAACGAGGAACATGTCGTAACATAACCACCTTTATAAAACAGGCAAGGTTTTACTAATCCAGGCGGCTTCCATGCACACCTAGTAGTAATATTATCGGTGCTCCCAAAAAGGAATCTGGCAGAACAGATCATGCAAACAACATATAAAGCACCTTCCCATTTATTTCCTTGCTAACTATTGCACTTTGAATATTTAAAAATAAAGACAAAAACAGAAAGGGATTTTAAAGGGGGAGGACCTTCTCTGTGGGGGCACCTACTATCTGGAACGAGCTCCCGCCGGAGATACGGAGGATCCCGGATCTGCGCACCTTCCTCCGCGCTCTTAAGACCTTTTTATTCCACCAGGCGGGCCTGGCCTGATCTTTTCCCTCTTTTTAATTATGCAAATTTTAATCGGTTTTTTTAAATGATTGGGGTGTTTTAATCTGTCTGGGCCAAATTGTTTAATTCGATTTTACTCTGTTTTTAAATTTTGTATCTATGTATTTTTACTGTTTGGCTGTTCACCGCCCTGAGTCCTTCGGGAGTAGGGCGGTATATAAATTAAATAAATAAATAAATGGATTTAAACAAATAAAATCCAAAGGAACAAACACTATAGCAGGGGTCATGTTCACCCAACAAATTCAACCACAGGATAAATTTAGGGAGCAGAATTTAGGGAGCAGAATTGCTCCAGAAGAGGGAACAAAGCATTAAGTGAAATGTGCTTCTAATTTCTGCCCAAACAGCCCTGCAGAATTCAGCTCAGCTCATTAAATCTCTTTGTCAGCTGTGAAGGCCCTGCTGTTGAACAGAACGGGGTCCCAAAAGTGTTCACCTTGGCACTGAATGCGGGATTTGCGTCCTCCAGCTGAACCTCCTGCCTGGTATCCTCTCCCGTCTGAGACAGTTCTTCAGCAGGACTGGCCACTTGGACACGACTAGGGTGCTTCAGAGTCAACGGCTGGCTAAGAGGGAAGGTGTCCAACCAGCAGAGGCGGACATCATAGAATTCCTTGGGCAACTGGATGCTGCAGTAGCGCCTCAAGATTTCCATGGCATCACAGGAGGAGCTGGCGAGACACAGAAACCAAAACAAAGGATCCCCTTTAACAGGATGCCAAGACTGCCCAGCTTGTCTGATTCAGAGCAGGTGGACGATTGATTTTGCTCATTGATTGGAGCACTAAACCAATACATTTAAGTCAACGTTGACTAGGCTGGATGTGTTTATTCTCCGTATCTGAACCAAACAGTTCCCGAGCATTCACCAAGCGTTTCCCCAACACCAACACCATTTCTCTCTTTTACAAGAAACCAAACCAGATGTCAGCACTTCAAGCTGCATTTACTCTAGTGCTGACATAAGAAGTGGAGGCGTCTGGAAAGGGACGTTTGACTTTTCACCTACTTATTTTCCCTGGAGATAATATCCCCTAGGAGATGGGATGGGAGGGGGGAAATTCCTTTGAGCTGGAGCAATAGATTAGGGGTAGAGTGACTTGGAAGATGGCCAATGAGTGCAGGGGAGTGGGGAATGGAAAGGGAGGGTTTGGGGTCTAGAAGTCAGTGTTGGCTTCGATGGAGTCGGGTTTTAGAATGTCGTGCTTAATAAATAGGAGTTTTTCTTCAAAGACTTTGTTTGAAATGCAATTTATTTCAGACGAGCTCGAAACTTGACACCAGACCTTTGATGTGTTACTAACTTGACCTCGGGGCCCTAATAGTGAAATAATGCATTGCTCTTATCTTGATCAATGTTGAACTCTCCTCAACTTAGCGCCTCAAAAGTTTTGATCCTGAAGATTCTGGGAGTCGCAGGCCAGCAACTTCTGTCTATCAATGGAGATATTGGAGGAGAGAGAGTGTGTGGGGGCAGACAGCAGAGTGGTGCCGGGGCCTAGAGGTAGAGCTCTCGCCTCACAATCAGGAGGCTGTGAGTTCGATCCTAGGTAGAGGCGGATATTTCTCTCTCTGGGCACAATGAAAATATATCTGCTGAATAAAACTCATTGGCGACAGGAAAGGCGTCTGGCCATTAAAATACTCTGCTCGCTCCATTCAGTTGCCCAGACTCTACCCCGCAAGGGATTATGGGGTCATTAAATGATGATGAGAGTGTGGGACAGACACTTGTCCTGATATAACTCATGAAAAGCAGCAATATCTTTCCATCTCGCCTTTCTGGCCAATCACAAGGCTCCCATTTGCTCTTACCTATTCACAGTATAGCAAGCCAACTGGACTCGGTATTGGGGTGGCTCGTGCCGAGGCTTCTTTGCCCCCCAGGGCTCATTACCCTTCTGCTTCCTCTTCTTGGAGTCAAAGTCATCCCTAAAAGGGAGAACAACTTGGTTGCATCAGCCACAGTTATAATGTTGCACTGAAATCCTAAATTTTTCCCAGTTTGGTTCTCGACAAACACAACATCCGGTACAACTTGGAAGAGAGAGAGAGAACGTGGATCTCCAACTATCCATGGAAAATGAACTCCCTTCTCTGAGGAAAGTAATCATGTAATGACTGCACCCCACACAAGTGTTATTTTTGGTCAGAATTTATGGTTTTTCTGGGGGCTGGAGATTTCTTCTGTGAATGACTTTTCCCAGACTGGTTTCCTATCCTATCGAATGGTTTCCTTCATTTCGGCGTTGACCCAAAGGGAGGTTTTGCTCAGTTGCCACCGCAGTTTTAAATAATAGGAGAACCAAAGTCCAACCCTGATGGACCATTCCGTGAAGTCTACCTTGGCCAGCATTCTGGGTTAGCTGTGGCCATCTGTAAAGCCCACAGGGCAGAGATGGAGTTTTAACAGGTCCTCCTTAGTCTTTGGTCTACCCTACCTTAAATTTGTTTTCGGCCAAAATATTTAATAATTTTAATGGACTTTTAATGTTTGTATTATCTGTATTTTATCTTGGCTGTTCACCGCCCTGAGTCCTCCGGGAGTAGGGTGGCATAGAAATTTGATAGATAGATAGATAGATAGATAGATAGATAGATAGATAGATAGATAGATAGATAGATAGATAGAGATAGATAGATAGATAGATAGATAGATAGATAGATGATAGATAGATAGATAGAGAGATATAGAGAGATAGATAGAGAGATAGATAGAGATAGAGAGAGATAGAGAGATAGAGAGAGAGAGAGAGAGAGATAGATGATAGATAGATAGATAGATAGATAGATAGATAGATAGATAGATAGATAGATAGATAGCCACCCCTTTGTGAGACCCACTCATCTATCCTGCCTGGGGCTCTGTGTAGCAGCCGTTGCCGTATGGGGACAAGAAATGTACGGAGACCCATGTGAAGCAGGGAAAAGCAGGGAGAAATCTCGGAAGTACCGTTCTGCTCCTTCTCTCACGTAAAAAGTAGGTGGAAAAGACTAAAGAAATGCCAGGGAGGAAGAGAAAAGCTTGGACCACGTGAAACAAGGAAGCTGAGCTCAGTGGCACAGAGTAGGCTCCCTCTGCATATAAAAGATCCCAGGATGGATCCCTTAAAACGTCCATTGAAATGCGTCAGGCAGCAATGTGGCAAGGGATCCTGGATTGCTGCTAAGAAAAGCAGACTATCCTGCCTCTAGAGTCGGGGTGTCAAACTCGATTTCATTGAGGGCCGCATCAGGATTGTGTTTGACCTCGGGGGGCAGGGGGGGGGCTGGCCGGCTCAACATCACTCATGTCGGGGGCACCTGTGGTGGCCCGAGCGCTCTGCCAGCGAAAACGGGCTCCCAGGTTCCATTTTCAGCTGCAGAGCCTCCTGCAACCCTCTGCTAGTGAAAACGGAGCTTGGGAGGGCCGCACAAGTTCCATTTTCACTGGTTGTAGGAGGCTGTGGCAGCCAAAAATGGAGCCTGGGCAGCCCATTTTCACTGGCAGAAACACCATGGGCCAGTCCTTCTGCGGGCGAGATCTGAGCACCCCGTAGGTCGGATCCGGCCCCCGGGCCTTGAGTTTGACACCCCTGATCTAGAAGGACAAATATTCTCCCCAGGAAATTGGGAAGAGTGCTAGATTTGCTTTTCTGCTGAGTGGCAAGGGGCAGCTAAGTAACAGAAAGCTGCACCCCATGGACTGAGAGACCAGCTGAAAAGGCAAAATGTGGGGGGGAAAAAGGGAGCAAGAAATGCTCCTTGGGAAAGTGGGAACTCACACTATGTGGTGTGATCGGCAGGATGCTGTGTCAACCCAAAATGACCCACTGTGATGCTTACCATCTGCCCGACTCCTGCCTGCCTTTAGGACCTCGACTGGCGTATCTCCCGAGGTGGCCCAAGTGGAGCGATGGAGATGTCTGGAAGAGGCTCATTGCTGGAGAAGAAACAGATTCAGCCTTATTTTCTCCTCCTCGGAGGACAACCCATTTGCTTCTAGGCCTTATATCACGCCAGATCCGCTATCGCTGGTCCCAGGTTACACTCACAACTGTATCCACCTCGTAAGGAGAAACCAGGATGACAAAAATCATAGGGCCTGGTGGCTCAGCAGACTGATAGCATTGTGATTAACACCAGCTGTCTGCAATTACTGTAAGTTCGAATCTCACCAGGCTCAAGGTTGACTCAGCCTTCCATCCTTTCTAAGGTAGGTAAATTGAGGACCCAGTTTGTGGGGGCAATAAGCTGATTTTGTATAAATATACAAAAGTATGAAGGCTATTGCTTAACGCACTGTAAGCCGCCCTGAGTCTCCGGAGAAGGGCGGCATATAAATCAAATTAAAAAAAAAAAATCACACACTTCCCAAAATGCCATTCCATTTCTTTCTTTCTTTCTTTCTTTCTTTCTTTCTTTCTTTCTTTCTTTCTTTCTTTCTTTCTTTCTTCTTTTTCTTTTTGCAACCATGGCACCCAAATAACACCAGAGCCCCATCTAGACGATTTGCCAGGATTACAGACTTCTCTCGTGGTCTAAAAAAGCTGCTTACATTACTCCCTTCCATGAATCAGAATGAATAGGGAAAAACTATTTAGAAAATCAGCCATGGCTTCAAATTTCCCATCTGGTTTCCAAAAGAGTTTGTCTCTCTAGCTTCCTTCACAGTGTAACAAATCTCTGGTTCGATTTTAACATTTAACGCTCCACCTCCGAATGGATTTCTTCACCGTCCAATGCTGCATGTAGTAACACTTACGTTTCTGGGGGAAGAGAGGGGGGATCCGGTGAGGCTGGAAGAGCAGCTGGGGCTGAGCTCCCAGAATGCCTTGCTTCTGTCCCAAAGAAGCTACATGGAGCAGAGGAGTGGGGGGCTTCAGAAGAGGCTGGGGGGAAAAAAGTATTAATGAAGAATTCGTAACAAAAGTAACTTTTCTTACAGAACAATGTCCAAACCTTGAGTGAACAAATGTTTCATAAATAACATTCCTTCCTTGGTGGCGCAGCAGACTAAAGTGCTGTTAAGTAGCACCAGCTGCCTGCAATTACTGCAAGTTCAAATCTCACCAGGCTCAAGATTGACTCAGCCTTCCATCCAACTGAGGTAGGTAAATTGAGGACCCGGATTGTGGGGGGCAATAAGCTGACTTTGTATAAAGAAAAGCACCGCTTGGGGGGGGGGGGGGGGCGAAAGCCCTACTAAGCAGGTATATACAAAAGCATGAAGGCTATTGCTTAACGCATTGTAAGCCGCCCTAAGTCTCCGGAGAAGGGCGGCATATAAATCGAACCAATAAATAAATAATAATAAATAAAAAGATAATTTTCAACCTGCCACAACTTAAATCTCTAAATGGAAACAACCCTTGGCTCCATTTATTGAAAAAGTTATAGTTTACTAGAGATCAAGGGTATTGCAATAGTCCAAAACCAGAACTGGGAACAATGAGCTAAACTCCCTAACTTCTACTTTTCCCTCCCTTAGCCGTCTCTCATTGCCCACCCTGGTGTAACCAGTCAGGTTCAGGCAAGATGTTTTCATAACAGATGGTCCAAGCGCAGTTTGATATGCGGCCCTCTCCTCTTTCCAGCTGGATGACCTTGAGGCAGTGCCTCAAGAAGGCACAGCCGTTAAGTTTTCCCAAGCATGAGCCAAGGTTAACCAGTGGTTAGAGTGCAGTCCTGCAGGCAACTTCTGCTGACTGCCGGCTGCCTGCAATTTGGCACTTCAAATCTCACCAGGCTCAAGGTTGACTCAGCCTTCCATCCTTCCGAGGTGGGTAAAATGAGGAGCCAGATTGTTGGGGGCAAGAGGCTGACTCTGTAAACTGCTTAGAGAGGGCTGTAAAAGCACTGTGAAGTGGTATATAAGTCTAAGTGCTGTTGCTATTGTTACTGCTATTCTCCTCCCCTTCATTACCCCTCCCCACAGTTCATGGCACTCTGCCACAAGCAAGCATAAGGTGGCAGCTGACAGATGGGCTTATTAAATTCCTCTGCCTTACCCGCAATAACATTCCCCTCCGTCTGATTTCTCTGCCGTTTCAACTAGGATATCTTCCACTGCTTTCCCACAAGTCACAGCAAAGTGCTAAATAAAAGCGTGAGGCCCCTTGTTGAATGCTTCCTATTTTCCCAGCTGTGCCATGCATTGGGTTCTTTGAATAAAGATCACTATGTCCAGGAAAGGGAGGCGATAACAGAAAGAATGGAGGAAAAGGGAGAACAGACAAACCAGCAAATAAAGCAAGGAGGAGAAGACAGTAAAGATAAAAATGACTGACGAAATCAAGGAAGGAAAAAGTATTCTAAGAGGTTTAAAAATGGATTGGGATAAGCAGGATGGTACTTTCGAAAGGGAGAAAGGAGAGACAGAAGCTTGGGCTTCTAGAAGAGATGGAAGAAATATATAGACTGAATAATAAAGATGTAGAGGTCGATAGAGACAAAGATCCAAGAGAGAAGTATGGGAGGCAACCCAAAAAACAAATAAGAATTGAAGCATTAAAACGGGCAAGAGATGATGGATAGAAAGGAAAGGTCTTTTAATATAATGGTGGACTGACTGAGGCCTGTCTAAAAGTTAGGACAGAGTAGGAATAAGAGATAGAGGGAGTATTAGTATACACATTTTTATGTAACAGAATAAAAGTAATAACGAGATGGGAAGATTAGAGGTTGGAAGAGGATATTACTATGTATGTTCAAATAATATTGTGATCAGCATTAGAATGGCACATTGAAACAGTAAACAACAAAATAATGAATGAATATCTTAATACAAAACTGGCTGCTACCTGATTTGACAAGGTCTGGACCTTCAAGGCATTCCAGGGCACCGACTGGCTGGGGTTGTAAACAGCTTTCACCAGCACTTTCTCACCAATTTGTGGGATCCGGCCTTTAACAACGCTTAAAGGAAGAAAAGACAGGAGGAGGAGAAGTTCATTACTGGCTGGAGAATTCTGGGTGTTGAAGTCCACAAGTCTTAAAGCTGCCAAGTTTGAAGACCTCTAAATTCTAAAGTTTTGCAGGTAGAAGCTGGCACAGGAAAAGCTTAGTTGGAAACCTTTTTCCAGGGTGGTATTCACTTCCTTTCCCTACAGGTTTGCAAATGTGAGCGTGCGCACGGCCGCTTCCACACCTGCTTACAGCCTTCCGTGCACGTGCTTTGCTCGTGCGAGCACCTTTCACGCATGCGCCCGGCCTCAAAAACGTGCCTAAATAGGACGGCATAGAGCCGGGGCAGGTGGGCGAGCCCACCCGTGAGTTCCGCTACCAGTTCACATGAACCTGTCTGAACCGGCTGAATACGACCTCTGCCTTTTTCTCTAGAATACTTGCATTTTTCTAGCAGGATGCATCACAATCTGTAGTATAATGGATTACACCCAATTCCAACAGCAGAAGCAGCAGCTATAAGCAGCCAGGCTTGGGTAATCCTCAGGCCTGAGAAGCAGCCCCTTTACTGCTCTTCCAAGGCTCAGGTAAGGCTGAAGAGCGGCGAAGTTACCCTGTCCGCGTGGAGCCGTTTGCAGCCCACTTCTGTCCCTGCTGCTGCTCAGCAACCCTCTACTCACCTTAATTGGAAAAAAACTTCATCATCCACCACGCCAAAATAATCGTGAAGACTGGTGACAATGCCAGTAAAAACCCGCTGCTTCTCTCCTCCCTAAAAGCAGAGAAAATCATTGTCATTACTTTGCTCAGAATAAACTCAAATGATCCTCATCTGATCATTACCACACTCAGCCGGTACCTTCATTAATGCTGCAGATGGTGCCTATGTATGTATGTATGTATGTATGTATGTATGTATGTATGTATGTATGTATATTTATTTATTTATTTATTTATTTATTTATTTATTTATTTATTTATTTATTTATTTCCAATTTCTATACCGCCCTTCTCCCTGAGGACTCAGGGCGGTGTACAGCCAGAATTAAAAACATGCAGTACAAATATTAAAAACAATTAAAAGATATATAAATTTGGCCCAATTAAAAATCACTACCAATTAAAACATTTAAAAATTTCTTCTTAAGCCAGCCCGGCTTGCTGGAAAAAATGGGTTTTAAGGGCACGGCGGAAGGCACCGAGGTCTTGGATTCTCCTTATCTCTGGGGGCAACTGATTCCAGAGGGTAGGTGCCCCCACAGAGAAGGCCCTCCCCCTGAGCCTAGTTCACTTTCTTTTATCATTCTTTGGAACTCTGAACCATCCAGCGGGCTATTTTAAGTAGAGAATACTTCAAGCTTTTACCCACTTGCTATTTAGTGATCTCTACTTAATGCACTGGTGCTGGAGAAGACTCCTGCGAGTCCCTTGGACCGCAAGGAGATCCAATCGGTCAGTCCTAGAAGAGATCAACCCTGACTGCTCTTGAGAAGGCCAGATCCTGAAGAGGAAACTCAAATACTTTGGTCACCTAATGAGAAGGAAGGACTCCCTGGAGAAGAGCCGAATGCTGGGAACGATGGAGGGCAAAAGAAGAAGAGGACGGCAGAGAAGGAGGTGGCTGGATGGAGTCACTGAAGCAGTCGGCGTGAGCTTAAATGGACTCCAGAGGATGGTAGAGGACAGGAAGGCCTGGAGGAACATTGTCCACGGGGTCGCGATGGGTCGGACGCGACTTCACAACTAACAACAACTTAATGCACTCTGCATCGGCTCTTTAACACTGGCTCTAAATGCCATGGACAATTAAATGCTAAGCCACTACTTAGATGTACAACTGTTCCTTTTAGGGTTGAATAACCCAACTTCCAACTTCCTTTTTCTGACACACTTGAAGCATTTTAAGCAGGCTAAGCATAAACATGCACCTTCTGCAACAATGCGCGCGAAGACCTGCACGACGAGTCTTGTGGCAGCCTTGAGAGAGAAATAAAGCATGGAAAATGAAGAGTTCAGGCTGAGCTCTTCGCGCTGTGAGACTCCCCCCCTCTCGCAGGCCTGGCCCTCCATGTTATCGAGGGCCTATCTTGATGACGGGTTTTGGAACCCCGAGAGATGGCATGTAGCGAAGAGGGGGTTGAGGGGTTGTTTTATCTAAATTTTTAAGGAAAATTTTAAGGGGACCCGGGAGGAAGGGAGGGGGTTGTAAAGGTGGACCTGGGGGGGGTCCAGATAGCCACTGAGCGGGGTGATGCGTCGTTTGGCTGCAGCAGAGGCGTCGTGGAAGGAAATTTAACCGGGGAGCAGGGGGGCGACAGGAAGGGCAATGTAATTGAAATAATGAGTGGGAGGGGCAGGTATGACGGGCGCAGGGGGCCATATCATGTGTCGGGGGTGCGCACACGCTGTTTACGAGCAATTGCACAATACGCGACTCGTGTCCTGGGTTGCGCAGAGTCTCAGGCCCAGGGTCCGCGGCTGATGTTGTGTAATGCCAAGTCGGTTGTTAATAAAGCCCCCCTCATTTGTGATCTTATTATGGAGGGGGGTGCGGACCTGGCAGGTATTACGGAGACCTGGTTGGGCCAAGAGGGGGGGGTGTTCCCCCTCGTTGAAATGTGCCCACCAGGTTTCCGTAACTTCTGCCAGGCGGGGGCCCCGGGGGGGGGGGGGGGGGGGATGGCGGGAAGACCCCTTACAGGGTCGAGCTGAGGATTTTGTGCAATTCCTGCATGATAAAGTCGCTCGGATTAGGGAAGGCTTGGACTCTGATTGGATGAGTCCAGGGGAGGAGACGAGGGCAGGTCTTGAGAATATTATCTGGGAGGAGTTTGATCCTATGGCTCTCGAGGATGTGGTCAGGGTTCTGGGTAAGATTAGTGCTGCCAAGTGTTTATTGGACCTGTGTCCCTCCTGGTTGGTACTGGCCTCCCGGGAGGTTACATGAGGCTGGCTCCAGGGATTATAAGTGCTTCTCTGAGTGAGGGTGCCTTTCCCGCCACCTTGAAAGAGGCAGTGGTGAGGCCCCTCCTCAAGAAGCCTTCCCTAGACCTGGCTGAATTAGCTAACTACCGTCCGGTCTCCAACCTTTGTTTTGTGGTGAAGGTTGTTGAGAGTGTGGTGGCACGATAGCTTCCCCGGCATTTGGATGAAGCTATCTATCTGGACCCATACATGCTACAGCGGTTGAGGGGGTTAGGAATAGGGGGCACCGTTTTGCGGTGGGTCTCCTCCTTCCTCTCCGACCACTCGCAGTTTGTGTTGGCAGGGGGGCAGAGGTCGACCTCGAGGCGCCTCGCATGGGGAGTGCTCTCTACATGGGGCTCCCCTTGAAGAGCACTCGGAGGCTCTAACTGGTCCAGAATGCGGCCGTGCGGGTGTTATGGGCGCAACCCGTTGTGCCCACGTGACACCCCTCTTGCGCGAGCTGCACTGGCTCCCAGTGGTCTTCCGGGTGTGATTCAAGGTGTGGGTCACCATCTTTAAAGCGCTCCATGGCATAGGACCCGGGTACCTTCGAGACCGACTTCTGCCGCCAATAGCCTCCCACCGGCCAGTCTGCTCCCACAGAGAGGGTCTCCTCAGGGTGCCATCGGCCAAGTTATGTCAGCCGGCGACACCCGGGGGGAGGGCCTTCTCTGTGGGAGCCCCAGCCCTTTGGAATGAACTGCCCCTGGAAATGCGTAAGATCTCCGACCTCCGGGTATTTCGCTGTGCACTCAAGACCCTGCTGTTCCGCCAGGCCGGGCTATCAATGTAATGATTTTAAATTGGATGTTTTAAATTTTGGGGGGTTTTAATATTGAGCCAAAATTATTTAATAATTTTAAATAATTTTAATTGTTGTTTGTCCTTGTGTTTTTAATAGGCTGTATTAAGTCCTTTGGGAGAAGGGCGGTATAGAAATAAAAATAATAATAAAAAAATAAAAAAAAATCATATGTTTGTGGTGTTTCTCCTTTGCCATTGCTGCAGCTTCTCCTTATTAACTAGAAATCCTCCTGCTTCATCTGTGGCTCCCCTTTTATCAAAGCCAGGAGGAGTTAAAGCCACGTGCCTGAAATATCAGACGAGCTGTGGAGATTTCCAGTGGGTTTTTTACCTCACCTCTGGCTGAGATTCGGCCTAAGCGAGTCCGGGAATTGCTGTCCTGTTTCCAAAATACAAAATTCTTGGCATGATATCAGAAGTGACCAGAATCACCTTGTAACTTGAACAGTTCTACACAATCCTTTTGTTGAGGTAAAATCCGCAAATTGTCCCATATCAAGAGAAGGGAAGAATATCAGGATATCACCACCTGGCAATTAAGAAACCCATAAAAGAAAGCCAATTAATTCTCTACCTGAAGATGTCGTGTTGCTTGAATGATGTCTGCTGAAATGGGAGGATTTAACAGACCCGGCGCAGGTCCCAGTAGAGAGGCTGGCTGTGTTCCTAGGAAAAAGGACTGGGTGTCAGCATCATTTGAATCCCAGTTGAAATAAAGTATGAGGAGGCAATGGATAAATTTTATTTACCAATAAATACTACTCTGTAATCGTTCTAACCACGTTCTTTTCCATACAACTACAACTTCATCCTTGTTACCGTATTTTTCGGAGTATAAGAGCACCGGAGTATAAGACGCACCTACCTTTTTGGGTGAGGAAAAGAAGAAAAAAGAAATCTCCCTCTGCCTCTGAGCAATTTTGCCTCGTTGCAGCAAACAGCCTGCTTTACTTTCACTTTCGTTTTCAGCACACCTTGATTAGCACAAGGGGAAAAAAAATTCTGCTCCAGCAAGTTACCTCTTTGCAGCAAGCAGCAGAGCCCTGCGCAAAACAGCTGAGAGCAAATCAGCTGAGAGTCCAGAGGCGATCCAATCAACTTGTGCTAATTAGACTGTGCTGAAGCTGAAAGGAGCTGTTTTTTCTTGCTGTTTGCTTGCAAGGAGGTAAACTGCTGGGAGGCAGAGGCCAAGGGTGGGGGGCCAGTGGGTGGACGGGGCTACATTCGGTGTATAAGACGCACCTAAATTTTCACCCCCTTTTAGGGGGGAAAAAGGTGCGTCTTATACTCCGAAAAATACGGTATATTTCTTTCCCAGTGAAGTAATAGAAGACTGAATACAGGGATCGGCCTACATATATATTTCATTATTAGATCTGACCACACTATGTAGTAATCGCTGACCCCACAGATAGTGGCAGCCACATGAAAGGACTCCATGCTTATAGTTCAGTTTAGCAAGCATACTCTACTCTTCCCGACGTATTGTCCCATTTGGGAATCATAGGAGTTTGGCTCTCAACTGAGAGCCAGTTTGGTCTAGTCGTTAAAGCATCAGGCTAGAAAGCAAAAGATTGTGAGTTCAAGTCCCGTCTTAGCCATGAAAGACATCTGAGTGACCTTGGGCCAGTGGCTCTCTCTCAGCCCAACTCATTTCACAGGGTTGTTCTTGTGGGGGAAATAGAAGGAGGAAGATCTGTTGGATATTTTCACCACCTTGAGTTGTAGTCCTTGACTTACAACCATTCATTAATGACCGTTCTAAGTTAACAACCGCACTGAAAGAAAATGACTTATGACCAGTTTTTACATTTATGGTCTTTGCAGCATCCCCATGGTCATGTGATCAAAAGCAGGTGCTTGCAACGTCATGTATTTATGAGAATTTCACTGTCCTGGGATCATGTGGTCATTATTTATAAGCTTCCCATCTGGCTCCCGACAAGCAAAGTCAAAGCAAAGTCTGGGAGGCCAGATTCACTTAACAACTGTATGACTCACTTAACAACTTGTAGTGATTTGTTGAACAACTATGGCAAAAAAATATCCTAAATACGGGGCAAAACTCACTTAACTGCCTTGCTTAGCAACAGAAATGTTGGGGTCCCTGTGGTCATAAGGACTACCTGTATTTGTAAAAATAATACAGGCGGGCTAAGTAAACAAATAAAAATAAAAAGCATACTTTGTCTCTTTTGGGAATCATCAAGAGTTGAAACCCAGATATGAAAACGTATCTGAAGGGCAGCAGTAAAAGCAAAACAAAAAGAGCTTTAAGCACAAGTGTCTTGAATTCCTCTTTCATTTAGCCCCCATGTCATCAACCTCTTAAGTCACAGTTCATAAAAATTGCTGGAGTTGTGTTTCGTTACTTCAATATGAGAAATTTTACACCACTAAACAGACTGAAAGACAGCTTCCAATCCAAGTCCAATCCAAACCTCAAGGAAGTAAAACAGAAATTCCCATTTCACCCACTTTGCCTAATTCTGGCCTCCTGCTTTACTGGCAGGAAAGGAAAGGAAAGAATAGGAAAAAGGAAAAAGAACTGTTAAGAACTTTGCTGCGGTTTCTTTGCTTCTGAGGGAGAGGAGACTTGATGGAAGCTCCTGGGTGCTGTAATATCGCACGAGTTCCGGCACCCATCCTCTTTTGCAGGGTTAGGGTTAAGGGAAAAGGAAAGAAGAAAGAAAGGAAAGAGGAAAGGAAAGGAAATAGAGAAAGGAAAGGAAGGGAAAGGAAAGGAAAGAAAGGGAAAAGGAAAGGAAGGAAAGGAAAGGAAAGGAAGGGAAGGGAAGGGAAGGGAAGGGAAGGGAAGGGAAGGGAAGGGAAGGGAAGGGAAGGGAAGGGAAGGGAAGGGAAGGGAAGGGAAGGGAAGGGAAAGGAAAGGAAAGGAAAGGAAAGGAAAGGAAAGGAAAGGAAAAAGACAAGGAAAGGAAAGGATAGGAAAAAGGAAAAAGAACTGTTAAGAACTCTGCTGCAGTTTCTTTGCTTCTGAGGGAGAGGAGACTTGATGGAAGCTCCTGGGTGCTGTAATATCGCACCCTTCCTCTTTTGCAGGGTTAGGGTTAAGGAGAAAGGAAAAAGGAAAGGAAAAAGGAAAGAAGAAAGAAAGGAAAGAGGAAAGGAAAGGAAAAAGGAAAGGAAATAGAGAAAGGAAGGGAAGGGAAGGAAAGGAAAGGAAAGAAGGAAAGGATAGGAAAAAGGAAAAAGAACTGTTAAGAACTCTGCTGCGGTTTCTTTGCTTCTGAGGGAGAGGAGACTTGATGGAAGCTCCTGGGTGCTGTAATATCGCACCCTTCCTCTTTTGCAGGGTTAGGGTTAAGGAGAAAGGAAAAAGGAAAGGAAAAAGGAAAGAAGAAAGAAAGGAAAGAGGAAAGGAAAGGAAAAAGGAAAGGAAATAGAGAAAGGAAGGGAAGGGAAGGAAAGGAAAGGAAAGAAGGAAAGGATAGGAAAAAGGAAAAAAGAACTGTTAAGAACTCTGCTGCGGTTTCTTTGCTTCTGAGGGAGAGGAGACTTGATGGAAGCTCCTGGGTGCTGTAATATCGCACCCTTCCTCTTTTGCAGGGTTAGGGTTAAGGAGAAAGGAAAAAGGAAAGGAAAAAGGAAAGAAGAAAGAAAGGAAAGAGGAAAGGAAAGGAAAAAGGAAAAGAAAGAAGGAAAGGAAAGGAAAGGAAAGAAGGAAAGGGAAAGGAAAGGAAAGGAAAGGAAGGGAAGGGAAGGGAAGAGAAAGGAAAGGAAGGGAAAGGGAAAGAAGGAAAGGGAAAGGGAAAGGAAAGAGGGAAAGGAAAGTGAAAGGAAAGGAAAGAAGAAAGAAGAAAGAAGAAAGAAAGGAAAGAGGAAAGGAAAGGAAAGGAAAGGAAAAAGGAAAGGAAAGGAGGAAAGGAAAGGAAGGGAAGGGAAGAGAAAGGAAAGAAAGGGAAAGGGAAAGAAGGAAGGGAAAGGGAAAGGAAAGAAAGGGAAAGGAAAGTGGGAAAGGATAGGAAAAAGGAAAAGGGAAAGGAAGGAAAGGGAAAAGGAAAAAGGGAAGAAGGAAAGGGAAAGGAAAGGAAAGGAAAGGAAAGGAAAAAAGAAAGAAGCCAAGAAAAAGACTGAGAACCGGTGAAGGCTGAAATCCTCTTTTTTCCTCCCCCAAAAGAGAGGCCATCCCAAGGGAGGGGAAGCGTGGGGGGAGGGAGACCCACCTGAGAAGGACCCTCGCGGGGCTCCCTGGAGGCTGCTGGTCCGCAGGGGCTTCTGGCGCTTGAACTGGGCCATGACGCTCCGAGGCTGTGGGCGGAATCCCCGCTTCAGAAAGTCGCACAAAAGACCCACCCCACCCCCACGCAGAACAAAGCCCCGCCCACAAACCCCAGGCCCCTCCCTCCCACCTCAGGCCCCGCCCAAAAGGAGGCGGAGGGAGGGGGGGGAGAAAGATGAGCCCGTCTAGATGCCCTCAGGGTGTTCCCCCCCCACACACACCCACACACAGAGCCACCTGCCCAGGGGCTGAAGAGGGGCCCTTCCTTCCTTCTTTCTCCCCGGGGCCACTTCGGGAGAGCCAGCCGGGCGAGGCTGCCGGAGGGAAGGAGAAGCGACGCCTCTTTCAACCCACCCGCCTGGCCTGGCCTACTCTGCGGGGTCGTCGTCACCCTCCCGCCACACACACACACAGAGACCCACACACAGAGCGGAGTGGGGGGGCCGGGGGGGGGGCTTCAGCGGGCGCCTCCGACGCTTCCACGGGGCCGGGAGGCGAAGGCGGCCAACGGGCGCTGAGAGGAGTCGAGAGGCGGATTCCTAGCGCGGCCCTCCCGGCCCGGCTCGAGAAGCAGGCCGTGGGGGGTTGGAGGACCCACCTGAGGCGGCGGGGAGGGCGCCCGGCTGCGACCCCGGGGACAAAGGAACCCGGATGTGCGCCTGAGCGGAAACGCCTCCTTCTGCCCCCCCCCACGCGCTGGAGGAACCGGAAGTGCCCGGAGTGAAGCACCACCCGGAAGCCAATGGGAACGGCGAGTCTCGGTCCTCCCAGAGGGGAAAGAGCGTCACTCCTCGAAGATTGGGATGGGGGGAAGAGAGGGAGGGAGAGAGGATGCTCCTCCAGGTGTGCCTAGATTACATATCCCAGCATCCTGGGCTGCTTGGGGCGGGAAGGATGGAGCCTGCCCTAGCCCCTAGCAGCGCCTCCCAGAATTCCCAGCCCTTGGGAATTCTGGGAAATGTGGTCCAACGCCTCTGGGTGCACCTGCTAGCCAAAGGAAGGGTCCCACTAAGATATGATCTGGGAAGGGTTGCAGCAAAAAAAAAGCATCCAGCATCATGAAATGCTGGAATAGGAATTTGGTGTTTTTCGAGTTTTGAAACTTTGCGTGGACAAAATCCCGTCTTTTAAGGCGGTGTGGAATAAATCACAGGCTCCCCAGCTCTGGAAATTTATTAATTCAATTTAATTCAATTATTAATTCAATTTTAATGAAATAACCAGAGCTGCCGCCGGTCCTCTTCATCTTTTTTTACAAGGGTGTGTTTTGCCACCCGGTGGCACGTTCGAGAACTATTTGGAGCCTCTTTTCTTTTCCAGCCCCCAAGTTTGTACATTTGTAGGCGTGCTTTTATTTTGCTCGCTTCTTCATGTCTTCTCAGCGTGCAGAAATGAGAATTCGAGAGCGGAAAATGATGTTTATATAATAAGCATAGAAATATCAAGATATGATTAAATATGGAAAATGAATATTTTGGCAGAATTTGTAACTATGTAAAATATATTTGGATATGACAAGCTGTATAAGATATGATATGGTCAATACTCTCTTGATAAAATATGTGGGGGAGGTGGAGAAAAAAAATCAATAAAACTTGATTCCAAAAAAAGAGAGAGAGAGAAAATGCTGGTCTTTGTGGCACCAAGGAGCTCAGTGTTTCCCTTTCCAACATTTAAGCCGTGGTAAATTAAGTTTTCAGGATAGCCAGGAGGATCCATCATACATTGGAATCAGCTCAGTCTCCTTCAGCACCAGCCACCAATGTCTGGGGATTATGGGCATTGGAATCCGATGTATCTGGGAGTATCAGATTGTGAGAAGCTAAATCACCATTCTAAATTCATGCAATTGAAAACATTGATACAAGCATCCTAGTCGATGCAACATTTATTTATTTATTTATTTATTTATTTATTTATTAGTTCGATTTATATGCCGCCCTTCTCTGGAGACTCAGGGTGGCTTACAATGCTTTTAAGCAATAGCCTTCATACTTTTGTATATACCTGCTTAGTAGGGCTTTCGCCCCCCCCCCAAAGCGGTGTTCTATTTTATACAAAGTCAGCTTATTGCCCTCACAAACCGGGTCCTCATTTTACCTACCTCGGAAGGATGGAAGGCTGAGTCAACCTTGAGCCTGGTGAGAATTGAACTCGCAGTAATTGCAGGCAGCTGGCAGCTGAAAGTCAGCTGCTCTCCAATTCAACCACTCGTCCCCCCTGGGAAACAGGGTGGGAGATTAGATCATGGGTGTCAAACTCATGGCCCGCGGGCTGGTTGCGTCACATACTGGCTCTGCCCCCGCCCGGTTTAGCGAAAAGGAAAAAAGTCCCAAAACATCATGTGACAATGCGAGTTTGACACCCCTGGTTTAGATGGATCCCTCGTATGATCCAACAGGTCTCCGCCTGACTCATGACTTGCTACTTCTCTACCGCAAAGGATTCCATATATCTCCAGAAACGTTTTCAATCTTCCATTCGGCATGAAATGATACATCCCTGGAAAGCTATGGTACCACGTTCCGCTGAATTTAGATTGTCAAACAAATGTTCTCTATTCTAGGGTTCAGATTTTTAAAAGATTGCAAAACGTTTTATTACCCTTAAATAAAATACAACAAATGCAATAGTACAATAAATACTATAAAGATAATAAATACAAACTCCCAGCTGCATATATGTAGTTGTAATTCGTTAAAAATACTAAAAAATATACTATACAATTTATAGCCTTGGTAGTACAGTGGTTTAATGCACCCTGTTATTAACACAGCTGCCTGCAATTTCTGCAGGTTCGAATCTTACCAGGCTCAAGGTTGACTCAGCCTTCCATCCTTTCTAAGGTATGTTAAATGAGGACCCAGTTTGTGGGGGCAATAAGCTGACTTTGTATAAATATACAAAAGTATGAAGGCTATTGCTTAATGCATTGTAAGCCGCCCTGAGTCTCCGGAGAAGGGCGGCATATAAATCAAATTTAAAATAAAATAAAATATTTTAAAAATACAATTTCATCTTTGACGTTACACAGTTACATGCACCAAATGGGAGAAGAGAAAGGGAGGGGCAGAGAGAGAGAAAAAAAACAAGAGAACATCAGATTTGTTTAATTAAAAAAAAACACTGAACAATTAAACAAACTAAACAGCAAGACATTTCACATTCTGCAAAGCAGGGATTTCCCAATGGACATGAAGGAACAGAAGATTGTTCTGTTTGCACCGTTTTTTTCTGGGCTGCAAACTATTGCTTTTAGGGACTTTGAAGTGATCAAAGCACCTCAAGCTTTCTTTAATAGTTGCAACACATGCAGTCTTCCATTGTTGCATCAAATAAGCACCCCTTTCAATTTTGCTGCAATAATCAGCAAGTTCTGAACATTTTTTTTGCGGTGCCTTAAGTCAGCGTTGTTGACCCCTGGCAACTCCCCTGAAGTTTTCTGGGCATGATTTTTTCAAAGCGTTTTGCCATTGCTCCTTCCTAAGGCTGAAGGGGGAGTGACTGGCCCAATGCCATCCAGCTGGCTTTCTTCCTAAGGCAGGGAACAGACCTCATGGGCTCCTGGTGTCTAGCTTGATGCTAGAAGCTCTGCAGCAAACTTAGACTAAAATCTTTATTTTTAATTGCATAGGTCCCCTGCAAAGAGAAACAACCTCAAATCCTTTGGACAATGCATGCTGGACAGCCATTAAAATGCTTACAGAATAAAGAGAAGAGACGAAAGGACTTCTTGTTCTCGTGTTATGAAATAACAACCAAAACAATTCCTTTGCAGCTGGCCTTGTTTGCTTTTTCTCCCGTCTAGGCCAAGGAGAGCAAGCAAACCAAAAAGGTGAGAAAACAAGGCGACGTAGCTTTTCAGAAGTTGATTAGGCGTTTTTTCTTCGCAAACAAGCTATCCCAAATCAGCTCCCATATCTGAGTTCCTTGGTCCTTCTTTCACGAC